TTTCCATCATTTCACCTTGCTGAACTTTTTCATTTCATAAAGGCTTCCTTTTAAAGGTCAGCTACAAATGGAAATTGGCTGCATGGTGTTTTAAATAAAATGAAGCAACAAACGGGTTGGCAATTTTTTCTAAAATGAAAAAAAGTCAGTGTTCAAAGTTAGTAGAGATTTAATAGTAGTCATCCTTTAATTCAGTCCTGTAGTGCAGCACTCGGAATTCACAACCAACAGGTGAAGGCGAGTGAGCTCACACCCCTTGTCTCAGAGTGTGAGTCCTGAGCTGGGTCCCGCGAGCCGTCCTGGGGCTGCACAAATGCTGCTGGGCCCCTTGGGCTCTCCAGCTTTCTCCTTAGCGTTGGTTGACACCGCGGGGAACAGGATGCATGGGGAGGGCTTCCTCTCGGATCTTCTTCTATTGAATCTTAGCCCCATAATTTTCTTCACATTCTCATGTCTCCAATGTCTCCAAGTGCGACTTAGATGATATTTTCTTCACCTTTTTCAGTTGACTTTATCACACAAATAGTCTGCCATTGCCAGAGTGAGACGTCTTCCATGAATGTGTGGCCTAAGGAAGTACAGCTAGCAGATCCACAGGTAGCATGAGCAAGGGTTCCAAGAAGAGGGTGACAAAGCATCCTCCACAGTGCTGACCTTTGCAGATAAGGTCACAGAGGACTGAAGCAGTAAAAATAATAACAACAACAAAAACACTCATCCATCACTTACTCTGTGCCAGGCATTCCACTCGGAGTTTGTTTTGAAGTTCCTCAGTACTAAAGGGAGCAGTGAGTCTGGCAGAACTGAGATCTCCAACTGCACACGTGTAGGAGGAAGTAGAGGCTGGCCTCTGCCCGGCTTCAGGGAGGTTGAAAGTGGCTGATGACAGGACTCTATTCAGCTGTTTTGATGCCAGACCCTTGCTTTTAAAAATAACACCAAATTCCCAGAAGGCCGATACAGTGACCAGGGGACAAAAGAGTATGAAAAAGTCCCTTGTGATGATAACAGGTCCATCGTGTGGGAATACAGCCACTGTATGCTGCTTTCATTTTTGCTTTTCAAAATAAGAGTTTGTATCATGATTATAAAGTTCTATCTTGGTATTACATACAGGACCTGTCATGGATAAAATCATGAGATTGCTGGACATAATGAAGAGTTCCAATTATATTCCAGTCACTGGTTCATTGTGTACCTGGTACTTTGTGGGGAGGGCTGATAGGATCCCAGGTAGGGAAAAAACACATTTCTGGGCATTGGAATGTGGGCATTTGTGGATGCAGACTTAGTAGCATGTAATTTTAGCAATTTTGAATATTATATATATTTGTACCACTTTGGTACCCAGGTGCAGAATTAAATGACTCTAATAATCAATTTGCAAAAAGTAAGTCCATAATGGTAAAATCAAATGATTAATAAGCAGTCTCTGTTTGTCAGATAGCCACATATTCATGAAAACTCATGGAATTTTAATATCAACTGGTTTGGATATTATCTGAATTAATCATCATATTGCAGATGGAAATAAAAAAATTGTCATTGTCTCAGCTAGGAAAGTTATGAAAATATATTTAGCTTGCAGGAAATCCTTGATAGTACATTTTAGCTAAAGATTTCAGTCTCAAAAGTTTAAAGAAACATAATTGATAATTTGCCCACTGTTTACTCAGCTTTTTTGCCTCTATGACTAAAAGTCCTGACAAAACAATTTTAGAAGATGAAAAGTTTATTTGGCTAAAACTGATGAGATATAAAGTTCATTTAATGTAAACTTGTAGATTATTAAAAATTCTGCTGATAATGTTCAGCATTATCATATGATTCACAATCCATACTATCACTCTTATATAAACTGTTTTTCTGAGGTGTGTTGCAATATTTCTTTAAGTTTTTTCTTTATGTCTTACTTCAAAATGGTGAAAAAAAATGTTGGCTATGCAAGTTTTCATGAATGTGATTTATTACTTAAGGTTTCATATGTAATTGATGTATTTCTTATCATGCTTCCAAAGAAACTGAAAATCAAAGAGAGAGTTTTTTTTTTCTCAAAGCTGCCTTATCTGTGAATGTAAATACATTAATCTATGGCAGAGCATAGAAAACTTGTGAATTATAGCATTTCTGAGTACAATCAGAAGTTAATCAAAAGGCTAATATTTTGTGCTCACAGACCAGCTCACATCTGTGAAGGAGCTTAGTATCCATAGCAACTATCATAACATAGCAGTCTGTCTCTCCCAGAACCCCTTTTTTTGTTTGTTTGTTTTGTTTTAGATTAAGAAGAATTCCCTAGGCTTATTGTTAATATTTTGTGCTAGCGAACCACTGGACCAAGAAGACAATCTTGCTAGCAACTGTGTTTGAGATTAACTTCTGAAAAATTCATTTACTAAAGAGGAAAAGCCAAATGCTTGCCATAAATATAACAATCAAATACATGAAATTTATGGAGTCATTAAATAGGCCAAATTCAGAATTTCCAGCTGTGAATCTAATTGAAAAAAAAAAACACCTTCATTTCTTTATAATTTATTGATCAATTAGATATGTAAAAATATACATTAGACAGGAAATCCAAGTGGTCCTAATCCATTACAGTTAATCAATACATTTATAAAAATAATATGTATACATAGGAATCATTGATCCTAAGTCAATGCCCATGCTTTATAATGTACTTATTTTTTTTCCATTTTAATTTGTTATATATGACAAGAGAATGAATTACAATTCATATTACATATATCAAGCACAATTTTTTTTGTATCTCTGGTTGTACACAAAGTAGAGTCACACCATTCGTGTCTTCATATATGTACTTAGGGTAATGATGTCCATCTCATTCCACCATCTTTCCTATCCCCATGTCCCCTCCCTTCCCCTCCCTCCCCTTTTCCCCTTTGCCCTATCTAGAGTTCATCTAATCCTCCCATGCCCACCCCCACCACTTTATGAATCAGCATCTTTAAATCAGAGAAAACATTCTGTATCTGTTTTTTTTGCTTCACTTAGCACATATTAGCGCATATTCACCAACTTCATCCATTTACCTGCAAATGGATGATTTTATTCTTTTATTGCCGAGTAATATTCCATTGTGTATATATACCACATTTTCTTTATCCATTCATCTACTGAAGGACATCTAAGTTGGCTCCACAGTTTAGCTATTGTGAATTGTGCTGCTATAAACATTGATGTGGCTGTGTCCCTGTAGTATGTTGTTTTTAAGTCCTTTGGGTATAGACGGAGGAGAGGGAGAGCTGGGTCAAATGGTGGTTCCGTTTCCAGTTTTCCAAGGAATCTCCATACTGCTTTGCTTATTGGCTGCACCAGTTTGCAGTAGTCCCCCCAGCAATGTATGAGTGTGCCTTTTCCCCACATCCTCGCCAACACTTATTGTTGTTTGTGTTCTTAATAGCTGCCATTCTGATTGGAATGAGATATACTTTTTTATGTTTAAGTTTCCTATGGGGGTGAACACTATGATTAAAAAGTAAACCGTTTTAGGATATACAAAGTAAAGCTCCAACTTGTTTTTTAACCTTGGGGCTATGGTTTGGACATGGTTCGAGTATGTTCCCCAAAGGTTCATTAATTTGAAGCTGGGTTTCCAGGGTGTTGACGTTGAGAGGTTTGGGGACCTTTAAGAGGTGAGGACTCATGGGAGACAGCCAGGTTGTGGGTGCTACCCTCAGAATGAGCTGGTTCTCCTGACAGTGAGTTGCTCTGGAGCCAGACTGGCCACAAGTACCACCTTGGCTTCCTGTCTCTCCATGTGATCTCTGCCATTGTGGTCCAGCCATTGTGACGTCAGCTGCCATGAGGCCCTCACCAGAGCCCAGCAGAACTGGCCCCCTGCTCCTGGATGCCCAGGCAAGATACACAGATATCCCAACCTTGGATATTTTCTTATGGTAATGGAAAAAAAGACTAATATAGTTAGAATTCATGCTTTCAGATGCAAAAGTAAAGAGACCACCACATCTTATCTTTATTTTGAAAAATGCTTTAGGAAAAACTGACCAAAGAAGTTGCAAGCATGCCACATAACTAACTTAAAGAAGAGAAACAGATGCCATTTATTTTCTTTTATGTGTCACATACAATGTGTTAGACCAGTTTTCTGAAGCTTTGTTCTATGTCATAAACACAGAAGGGATCAGTAACTTGCAAAACACTGTCTCTTCTTCCACTCTCAGAAATCCTGCTCCAGGAGGTCTGAGGCCTGAGAACCTGCCTTTCTGACACCTTCCCAGGGAAGCTGGGGCTGCAGCAGTCCCCCTTAGATTGTGAAGCATCTCCAGCCTTCCGCAGGTACTGAAGTTGAATGACTGTCCGCTTTGCTATGATTTGTCTTGTATTACTTCTGAAGCAACTTAACTTTCAATTATTACTTTTTCTTCATGTCAGCCTAAAGTACCTCTCTTTACTGTATTTCCTTTTAGTATTCTACTCCTGAAATTTCAATTATCACATTTTTGTGGATTGTTCTAAAATATCTCTGGATAGACTTTTAAGCTCCCCTCTGTGTTTAAACACTTTTGCCTGTTGACAGCCTGCTGACTGAACATGGAACTTGGTTTCTCTGAGCCAGGCTTGGTTTAGCTATGGCCACAAATCTGTAATATGTAAACTTCACCTAATACTTTACCTAGAAACACAGTAGCTTTGGTTATTCCTGTAAGAAAACTTGACCTTTCTGATTGTAAGATATGTGTTCTGTGACTGCGTTCTGCTTAGTTTTCTTAATTTTTTCCCAAAAAACCCAAGGTGATCTTGAAATAAGTTGAACATATAATAGGAAAAAATACCATTGGTTCTTTGATAAAACAGCACTTAAGGAATCTAAATTACTTCATAACCTGCTAGTTTAGCCTGCCTTGTCTGTGTGGCTTTAGAACAGGTCCTAATGCTCAGTGTGACCAATGGGTGTTACCACCTGAGCCAGGACTCACTTGCACAAAGGAGGCTCAAGGGCAACTGCCCCAGATGCTAAAGACAGAGGCTTGCTCTTCTCTCCTCGGAAGCCCTGTCCTCCTTGCCAACAAGCCAAGCCAGGACCCTCCCCTGCAGGAAATCTCCAGCATTCTACATGTTTCTGTTTCCACATCTAAAGTGACCGTCCCTGCTGTCCTCAAAGGTTGCTCACCAGTACCACATCTGTGTTCAAAGCATGCAGACATGAAAGGGGACAACCAGGGCAAGAACTCACATACTTTTCAAGGACCTAAAATGGAAAATGCACACATAATATCTCTCACATTAGAAGAGAAAAAATCACAACACACCACAACACACACACAAGAGAAGGACCGGAAAAAAAAAAGGCCGGAACCGGCCCAATGGGGAGGGGGCAACGGGGTCCCCCCCCGGCCGAACAATTAATCCAAAGGTTTGTGTATAGGAGATAGCCTTGGGAGGTAAAGACAGCACAGTCCTCCACAGCAGAAGTGAGACCACCTCACCAAACATGAGCCCTTAGTTCCCCAAGCTCAGGCTTCCTCTCCTACGATGCTGTCCATGATGTGAGAAGGTGTCATTTGTCCTTCTTCATGCAGATTTGAGGGGTTAGGGGCTAGGGGCCCAGGGCTGTGTCACAGAGGACACTTACAGTAAGAACACTCACCCTTGCTGTGAGTAAGGTACTTGAGACCTGGCAGTCTCATGTCTGCCTCAGTTTGAAATCAGGGTGACATCTCAGTGCCTTCACAGTGTTTGACAGTTGAGGCAGTGATGGTGGGATGGTGTCAAATAACTTGGCTTTATGGAAGAGAAAAGAAGAGAGCCAGTGGCTTGCTGAGAGTCTATGGAATCCCGAGTGAACATGTTGCCCATGGTCTGCCTGAATTCACTTTATCAATTATTAGAAGAAATTTGGGAAATAGTCACAAAATCTCCACAAAGGAGGTTTAAACGGTGCTGCCCACATCTCTGGCTGTTGCTCTCTCCTCTGGTGGGAGGACTTCCTGGTTAGTGGAGAACTACTGTCACGTTCACTGTGCAGCAATCATGGGTACTGAAATCTGTCCCAGGTGGCAGGGTGCTCTGAACCCCCTCCAGACAATGGCTTGAGAGACAACTCAGCCTGGGCATTAGGGGAGGGAAATGCATGACTGCGCTGGGCAGAAACTCAGCAGAGCCCCATGTCTGCTAGGTTGTTTGGAGAAGCACGGGCAGTGGCACAACCAGTTTCCAAGGTAGGAGAGCATTAGTTACATGGCTCTGCAGCTCCACAGCTCCTGCTGTCTCTCCAACCAACCCTGGATTCATTCAGAAATGACAGTAAAAGTTCTAGGAGGCATTTTAAAATAGTTCCTAGTTGCTTTAAGGAGACTCAGATCCTCTCATGGAGAACATTCCAAGGGATATGTGTGTGGGGGGAGGGGGCAAGTTCCATGAAATATGTAAGAAAAGTTCCATGAAACATATAGCCAACTCTCACGGAAATACAGGCATCAGGCACTGTCTGGTTTGCGTGAAGGCCATCTGGAGGAGAAGACTCTGCCAAAAGAAATCTCCAAGTCCTTCTGCTGCCCATTCCACATCCTAGAAATATCTCCTAGCCTCATGTTAAAACTGCACAAAAAGTCCAGTGTTGTAGGAATGGGCAGCAGATACCTCATACTAAGATGGACTTCTTGGCAGTAGGTGAGCATCTCAGCGAGTCAAAGTGGGTTTGGCTAAAAGGTCAAACTCCATGCCTTTGCAGAAACAAGAAGAACTGCACCCGCCAACTGAACACCAGACACTGCATTCTTTTGTGGTCAAGGATGCCTTAGAGCTTGAGTGAATTTCCTTTATTCATAGGGACCCCACGTGTACCTTGGGGACTGAGCTTCTGGTGTGAAACCCAGCATTTACTGCTTCCTTTGTGAAAAGAAGAGGGGGAACTTGCCCCCTATGTGAGACCTTCTGGAGTTTTAAGGAAGCGTGATGAGTGGCATTCAGATGACAATAGTGACAGAGAGTGCTCCTAATGAGACTACCTTGGAGGCTGAGAGAGTATCCTAGAGAGAGGGCAGTCTCATTATTTAAGTGCTCCCAGTAGGCAGTTTGGTTGACAATGGTATCATCTAATTATAAAGGAAGGGTTGAGTTTTTATGTATCTGTAGCTGAAGTGATCAGTGGTACCATCTTAAGCCTGGACGACATTCCAGTCAGCCCCAACTCACTGAAAAGAAGGATTTTATAAGACAGACTCGTGCTATACCCAACCCATGTAGCCTATAGGATTGTAAAATCTCTATTTTCTGTAACACTCAGTAGAGAAACAAGAAGAAAGCCGCCAGTCTGCTAAAGTAGACCCTGATAATTCCTGGGGTTTTCCCAGCTGACTTGGTTTGAGGTAGGGAACAATGTGGTCAAGGTCAACTGTCCAGCACAGCCCTGCTGCAACCAGCACAGCCAATCTAACAGGTTCTGGTGAGGGTTGAAGGGTGATAAGAAAAATAAAGACTCACAGACTCAGACTTTGAAGATAACAGCTGGGGTCAGGTGGAGTGCTGCTCTCTGATGGAGAAGCAGGTCGCCAGCAATCTTTATATATGTCCCATTGTCAGATTAAAGACTATGCATGCATGTCTTTGCATTCATCAAAGTTACAGAGTTAGCAACATTATGCAACTTATTCTGCAGTTACATTCTACAGCTGCAGTGTGCAATTTTAGGAGCTTTGTGTAGCTCTCAAGAAAGTCCATTGTTTAAAGTTGCTGTTTTGTGGGCAGGTTTGGAGCAGCAGAGCTGGTTGTCTAGCAAGGAGTTCCCTTTATTCCCAGAAGCTGTGTGCCTGAGATCAAGAGCAAGGCTGATAAGACTCTAGCCTCCTCATGAACAGCATTACTGCAGCAGCTAGACTTCCTGCACCTTTGCACAGAAACTTTCCCAGGCACCAAGCATACCACAGCCATGAAGCATCTCAGATACTGCTCTCCTGTTCTCTGTCACCGCTCTCCACATTTCTCCCTTTTAAATTTTTTTTAAAAATATTTATTTTTTTAGGTGTAGATGGACACAATGCCTTTATTTTATTTATTTATTTTTATGTAGTGCTGAGCATCAAATCCAGGGCCTCGCCCGTGCTAGGTTAGTGTTCCACCACTGAGCTGCAACCCCATCCCCCCTTTTTAATTTTTTAAATGTAAATGATGTATTAAGACTTGGAGTTGTTGGATTTTTCTTCTGAAGATTCGGCATCCTATTGTTACTTTCCACTTCTTTGAGTCCTATTAGTAGTAAGAACTTAAAGAAAATTCCAAATGAGAAAACGTGAAGGGGTTGGTCTTAGCGGCCATCAAGCCAAAGGAATGCTGTGCTCATGGGAACCTGAGTCAGAAGCCGAGTTCAGCAACAATAACAGGGGCTTCATGTTGACAGGAGGCTACTCTCCTTGGCTCCTTAAAGGTTCTATGCATCCTGCAAGCAGTATCTACTTTTTTCAGGATTATCTTTTAAAGATGTTTGTTTAAGGAGCAGAGTCAGAAGATACAGATGGTATCTCCGTCAAGGACAAGTATGCTTCCAGCCCCTTAAAAATATCTTCTGTCCCCAAGGTCAGAGTTCCTTTGCTGTAATGCGACCCACTTTGTGAACTGTTGTCATTTTGTTCCCCCTCTATTTTTGAGTTGAAGCTGTAACCCCTGTTACAGGTGATAAAGTGAAGATAAGGTCATTACAATGGGCCAGAATGCAGTGTACTGGTGTAAGAATGTTTTGGGACACAGAGGAAGGTCCATGTAAAGATACTGGGGGAAGACAACCAACTGCAGACCAAGGTCTGAGAAGAAGTATCTACTTTTTTCATCAGACCTGTTAAGACCTTGATCTCAGACTTCCAGCCTCTGCCTAAGTCCATGGTCTGTGATGACGTGTTCTGGCCGCCTTAGAAAAAAACTAGGCTGCAGCTGGATACTGCTATGGTTTGAGTAATCATGTCTATGACCCGAGAATCCTGTGATTTTGTGTTTTATTTTCTAGCATTCATCCAGACTAACTTTGAACTTGCAAGTAGGATACAACCTCAGAATATTCAGTTCAAGGAAAGGGAAGCTGGGAAATCTAGTCTCTAGCCTGGTGGCTACATGCAGAGATGACAATCATAGAGATAGGAGGGTTAGTACCACCAAAACCAGGTAGATTGGGCAAGAAAGGGAAACGGCAGGTGGAGTAATAATAACGGAAATAAAAAGGGAGTGTCAATGTCCTGAGAGCAATGACAGGGTGTCATTCAGTCATTGAAAGTATCACAGCCATATTCCAAATCAGCATTTCCCAGTGGAAATTTCCTATGGATATTTCCTGATTAAATGTTGTAAAC